ATAGTGCCCTGAGGGTGCCCCCACCCTCAGGGACCCCCTCCCGCCCGGCTCTGGAAAGGGGTAAAACTTACCTTTTTCCACCGCTGGGTGGAGAGCTCTCCTCCTCCGATCCTCCTCTTCTCCTCCCGTCGGCTGTATGCGCACGCGCGGCAAGAGCTGTGCACGCATTCAGCCGGTCACATAGGAAAGCATTCATAATGCTTTCCTATGGACGCTGGCGTGCTCTCACTGTGAAAATCACAGTGAGAAGCACGCAAGCGCCTCTAGCGGCTGTCAATGAGACAGCCACTAGAGGAAATAGGGGAAGGCTTAACCCATTCATAAACACAGCAGTTTCTCTGAAACTGCTATGTTTATGAAAAAATGGGTTAACCCTAGCTGGACCTGGCACCCAGACCACTTCATTAAGCTGAAGTGGTCTGGGTGCCTAGAGTGGTCCTTTAAGTGTGTGTGCATCTGCATGCACTGACGCATACGGTCGCAGGGGTCGCAGCCCTGTAACCCCTGCGACCAGGTGCCCACCGCCATGTTGTGCGCAACGGATCAATTTTCGAACTGGGGCCCCATGGGTCATGTGTACGCCACTGGCAGTAGGTATAAGTATACTGTAGGTAAAGACAGCTGGCTAAATTATAGAGGATAGTGACACCAACTGACACCATTTTTACCACTGCAGAGGTACAAAAAAATGTATTTATATTGATAACAAAAAGTGGTGTTAAACAAAAACTAAGGCACAAAGAATATAAGACAGGAAACAGACAGTGGATGCATCTCATTCTACCTGGGCAGTGCTTTTTTTTCAAACAGATGAGATTAAATTTTCCACATTTAAATCTTACAAATTGCAAAGACAATATAGTAAGCTTAGCATATTTTTTAACGATTAAATGGTTATAATCCAAAAAGGATCTAGAAAAACTCCACATTTGCTACCAGTCGAAGCTTATAAACACAAGAATATAGATACATAATTGGGCATCATGAAAAACACTGTATTAAGTGGGAAACGGTGGTACAAATGTTAATCAGTGTAGAAAAAATTATGATTAATTATAAAATTTAAAAAAAAATTAGCTAAGAAAAACAATTATAATCAGAAAACATTCATACATGTATAGTTGAACACTAAACTATACAGTAGATGGCGCCATGGGCCTTCTTATATTTAGTAAAGCATTTATTCAGAAATTATATAGAACCTAAAAACACATACACCAGAGCCAATAGCCAGGACTATATGTTACTTTACACTTCAAGATTTAGGCAAAAATGTGAACCACTAAGCTATTTATTGCATATTCCTAACACATGATACAACAAGAAAATCAACTACAAATATTCTTTATTTCCTCATTCTACCACTTCTACCTCTATAGCTAACAGAATGCATCTGGCTGAGCACCATGCAAATGAGCATTTTTCTTACACAATGAAAGATATTTTTTGCAAATACAAATTAAGGGGGGGAACCCAAAAACAAAAACACACCTTGATTTTCATATGCTGCACTTTTAAGAGAAAGAAGCAAAGACAAAGCTCCTCTGTTTTAAAGAAAACCCATGTGCTTCTCTCCATTAGGCTTCTGTGGTTCTAAGAGAAGCTACGCAGCCCATACATAAATTTAGCCACTTAAAGGATTTGATTTACTAATAAAAAAAAAATTAAATTAAATGAATGAAAACCACAGCAAGGCATGTTACAGGAAGTTGCCATTTTTATTGACTCTTGTGCGGAATTAATGGAATAGGATGTATTTATTTATTCATTTATTTTTTTAAATCGCTAGACTAAAGCACACAAACACCTGTGAACCATTGCAGTAGAATTTCAAGTGAAAATATATGAAAAATTAATTTTAAAAAATTGGGTTTTATTGCCATGTGGCATTTTATGCAAATACTGCAACAGCCAGTCTCGAAAAAGTGAAGCATACTAGGAGGTCCAATGGTTCCAGTCAAGTGCACTGACACAAGTAAATAAGGAAATTTATAATTTCCCAATGACCCAGACGAATCCATGCAGACACAGCGTGAAGTGTTGAAGAGAAGTGGCAGGACGTTCATGGTGGCTGCTGCTGCAAGGTACAGGTTCTAGGAAGTAAAACAACCCTTCCCCTGCTCCTCACGTCCACCAGAAATCCAGCAGAATAGATAGTGTCGGTGGTCTTTGCAAAATACGGTGACAGAGCTACTTTATTGTTACAAAGCAGAAACAGTGTGACACTATATATAATATATATATATATATATATATATATATATATATACAAAAAATACAGTAACTTCAGGCTAAGCGGATATGTCTAGAGAGAGCGTTGTACACTATATTCAGCAAGCTAAAAAGAATATATAGCCATGATGGGTGACTAAATAAAGAGTATGTTGTCAGGCTAGGCACACGTTTGTAGAGAGATCATGAAGTTAGCTTGTAGGCTAATAAAGCCCACCAAACATATATGAGAAACTAAATATAAACAAGATGAGCACTGCACTTTATAACCGTAATAGGTAAAAAAAACAGCAAAAACACAGCTCTAATAATTTGTGATAAAATGAATGTAGGTATGGCAGAGAAAACTGTAGAGCTGGGGATTACTGCAAGAGGTAAATACCACTGGGGGTTGGTGATAGCAGCTGAGCAGATAGAGCACTGTAGTGGGGTAAAACAGCATTGGCTTATCAGGCAATGTGCATTAGGAGAACAGCTGCATAACAGCCCAGCAGTAGGCAAGACCCATGTGCCACATGACCTATGCCCTTTGTTAGAGAGACTCCGCTCCCATCACCCTCAGCCACTCCAATGATTCCTTCCCCAAAAGCCCAAGTCCCCCGAGAGACCAGTCCAGGACTTCCCAGGCAGACAACCTGTGTGTCGGTTGGAGTTCGCTTCTGCAGACTCGCGGTTCCACGCACCCAGCTGTGTAACAGATAGGTCTCTGAAGCAGCATGGGCGCGTCGTGAGCGAAAGCGCCTCCTCCTCTGCAAGCGAAAATGTTGCGCCTCTCTGGGAACATGTGAGGTAGCCATGCACTTGCGGCGGCGAACGGAAGGCCGGCTCCGAGGTGCCATGCATTGAACAGCAGGAAAAGAGGTAAGCTGTCTTTCGCTGAGCTCTGCCCAAAATGATGCACAAATGCGGTCAAATGTCACAAGCAAAGGATCCATAAGCGTGGACGCCAGCACGGAGGTGTCTGACTGTAGCGGGGCAGCCATTTTGTATGCTAGGACTCAGCAACTTGCCAGAAAGACTTGGGTCTTGGTCAGGTAGCCGTGCAAAAACTTCAGTGGACACCGGGATAACCCCCACCGGTCCAGAGGGAGGAGGAACATGGTTTAGACAGCTCCAACAGTAGGCAGAGGGTTGGCTGCCTCCCTGGCCTCAAGTGCAGCCGTAGGCAGTGGGTAAGCCTTGCATGGCTGTGTACACCATCTGCAGACAAGATTGGTGCCAAATGAACTGTAAGATGTTCCCTAGGGTTGTGGTCAGGTTTGTAACCAAATTGGTGAAAATAAAGTCCAATTTGTGCCCAGGATTAGATTTTCTCAGAGAAGCTTCATCACCATGCGACTGCTGCAGGCCCCACACACCCAATATATATATTTATCACTTCAAATGAAATTTTATGAATAAGGAAATAATCTCCAAATTACCTCTACACGCATTCAAAGTCGTTATTTATAAATGATTATGTTCATTACAAATCAGGATAAAATCATACGTAAATACTAAAAAAGAGCCAAGGGTGTTTTTTCCTATAGATCCAGGTTTAAAATTTTTTCATTTTGAGTTGTTTAAAATTAAGCATGACAATGAACCAAAATGTAGCCTTAGAGTCACATATGGAAGTTGCTTATGCGTGGATAATGAATTGAGAGACACCACACTGCATGGAGGTAGAAGGCATGGGTGCCCATAGCACATGGCAAGAAGGTGTAAGTGTCTTCCGCTCTCCCGTCCCTCCTTCCCCTGCCCCAAATGGCCCTTTTTTTTTTTTTAGATTTAAATGGTGCATATGCAT